CGGCCCCGGGCCTCCATGATGGAGGAGCGAGCGGCCGCCGCGGTCGCCTCGGCCGCCTCCTCCTGTCGCCCTCTGGGCTCGGGCACGGCTCCCACCCCGACTGCGGCGGCCCCGGCCTCCAGCCCTGCCCCTGGGCCCGGCCCGGTCGGGAAAGGAGGCGGTGGCGGAGGCAGTCCGGGTCCCACGGCGGGCCCCGAGCCCCTCAGCCTGCCTGGCATCCTGCACTTTATCCAACACGAGTGGGCACGCTTCGAAGCCGAGAAGGCTCGCTGGGAGGCCGAGCGCGCCGAGCTGCAGGTGAGCGTCGCCGCTGCCCTTCCCCGCGTCCCCCGCCCCGGGCCCGGCCGGGCCTCGCCTCACCCGCTGCCGCCGCCGCCGCCATCTTGGAGCAATGGCCGCCGGGACAGCCGGGAGGGGGGGGCGGGCGAGGACGGCGACGGGCCGGCGGCCGGAGTCCCGGGACACCGGAGCGGGGGACCGTGCGATGGGCGTGGAGGGACGCGGGACGACGGGTGCGGGGCCGAGCGGACCTGGTGCCGCGAGTGGAAGTGATGTCCTAAGCCTAGGGGCGCCTGAGCGAGTCGGGGTCCCCAGGGACACACACGGAGGGGAGCTCGGGACAAGGATGCTGAGAAAGTGGATGGGGGGTGGTCCTGCGTGAATCAAAGCTGTGCACTTGCATCCCGATCCCACACAGATGCTGGTGGGATGGACTGGGTGTCTCGTCTGTCCTGGGGACACACAGACTTGATGTCCGCGAGGGAAGAGCGGAAGTCCCAGAGCCTGGGATGGGGTGCCTTTGGGGGAGTGTCTGGACTGGAGGAACTGAAAGATGACTATGTGAGGACTTAGGAAGGTGGGAGGAAGGTTTCCAGGGAGTCTCAGAATGAAGTGTGTGTGACGCTTTGGGGAAATCGAGGCATGTGTGGCCACCATGGAGGGGAGGGGTCTTTGGGGTGGAAACATGGACAAGGCAGGGGACATACGGTAGGAACCCGGGCAGGAGAGCTTGAGAAGGGGAGCCCCAGGTTTTTGGGGGGGGCGGTTCTGGAAAGATGGGAATGATGGCTCCGGGAGGAGAGAGGTGTGAGGATGTTAGGTAGGTGTCCTGAACTGAAGGGGCAGGTGTCAGGCATGTCCAGTGTGAAATCAAGGACACCTGTGATGGAGACTGGCAGAATAGGGGGTACCTTGGGGCGATACTTTAGGGGCAGCATTTTGGAGAGGAAGAGGGCAGTGTGAGGAGGGACTCTCAGAAGTGGTTTTGGAAAGATTTTATGGTTTGTGGAGAGAAGACTGTGCAGCGTGATGGTACATGGAAGAGGAATTGGGCTGGGCTCTGTGACCTTGAGTGAAGGACTGCTTGTGGACAGTGTCCTTACAGGTCTAGGGAACCAGAGAGGTGAGCACTTGGTGGGCTTTGGGGATGGGCTGCCAGGAGTCTTGGTCTGGGGTGTTATTAGCAGAAATTGTCAGTACTTGACTTCTAGCAGCATAGCTGTCTCTTTCATGTCTAGTTGAAGTAGGGACTCAAATAACTGATTAGAATTTTGGCCGTGGGATGAATAGAGAGCATCCCACTGTTTGAGTGTGTGCGTGTCTCCCTTAGCTGGTGGTAGCTGAGGCTTGGCTCGGGTGGGAAAGGAATTCTTACGTAAGTGCTCCTCACTTTGTGCCCAACTCTAAGGCTCTTTCCCATCTCATTAGATCTTCTCAATACCCCATTATGCAGGCAGGGCCAATGCCATTACTTCACTCAACAGTAGTGACAGCAGCTGCTATTTATTCAGGGCAGATTATGTGCTGGACACTATATTCAGAACTTTAGATAGTGCTACCATTTAATTCTTACAACATTCTGAGAGGGGAAACGATATTATCCCTTCCTCACTTTTTCAATAAGCAAAAAGGAAACATGCTTTGAGAGGGCAAGTCTGAGGATCACTGCACCAAGTATCCGTGCTGGTCTGTGTCTTCTCCTTGTCAGCCACCCAGGATAGGTGAGAAGAGTGGCCCCAGGAAGCTTAGTGTCCTCACAGGTCACCCAAGCCATCACAACAGTGTGGGCTGAATCTCCATGTCTGGAACTACATGTCTGAGCTACAGTTGCACAATAACATCTTGTTTCTCTATCTCTCCCTCTCTCCCTCTCTCTGTCTGTCTGTCTGTCAAGCTCTCTCTCTCCCTCTCTCCCCCCCTCCCTCCCTCCCTCTCTCTCGTCTTGCTGTGTAGCCCAGGCTGGCTTCAAAGTTGCCATCCTCCTGCCTTTGCTTCCTGAGTGCTGGGATTACAGGCGTATGCTACCACACCTTGCTCAGCTTAATGAGGGATGTGTGCCTGTCCTCTTGGTTAGTAACCATTTGTGGAACTCAGAGCACCCTGCAAGGCTCAAAATCATCACTTAACTTTGTGCTTTTGTTAACTTTAGTAAGAAGTCAAACATCTCAGGGATATGTACATATATATGTACGTGTGTGTGTGTGTGTGTGTGTGGTAATGCATGTGCATGTGTGTATTAATATGCATGTACATATGTGAGTGGAAAGGGCAAGTTCCCTCCTGTTCTCTCTAAGACCTCCTCTCCAAATGTTGTTGCTATTAGAGTAGTTCAGAGATGTGTGTGTGTGTGTGTGTGTGTGTGTGTGTGTGTGCGCAGAATGGATGGAGTCATGTTATAATATGCCACTTTGTGACTTCCCATAAAAATCGTGACATTTTAGTCTTTTCCTCTCAGCACAGAGCTCTTATTTTTTATAGCTATGTAGTATTCCCTTGGATGTTTATACCTTAGCTTGTTTATTTTGACCCATGTCAGTGGATTTTTAGGCAGGCATGCTTCCAATTTGCCCCTTGTCAGTAATGGCTCTGGAGACTAGAGAGATAGCTCCCTTGGGTAAGTATGAGGACTTGAATTTGATCCCCCGTATTCATAAAAGTAAGGCATGGTGTGGTGGCACACACTTTTAATCCCAGCACTCAGGAGGCAGAGGCAGGTGGATCTCTTAGGAGACCGAGGCCAGCCTGGTCTGCATAAGGAGTTCCAGGCCAGCTGGGGCTACAGGGAAACCCTGTCTCAAAAATAGGTAGGTAGGTAAATAAATAGATAAATAAATAAACAAATAAATAAATAATAAAAGAGTCAGGCATGGTGGCACGTGCTTGTGATCCCAGTGTTGGAGAAGTGGAGGCAAGTAGGTCCCTGGGGCACACTGGCTAGCCAACCTGGCCTAATTGGTGAGCTCCAGGCTAGTGAGAGACCCTGTCTCAAAAAACAAGGTGGAGGGCTCCTGAGGAACAACACTAGAGGTGTTCCCTAGCTTCTACACACTTGTATGTGTATGTATACATATACAAGCTTGTATGCACACACAAACACACAAGATGTAGCTTTGATGAATGTGTTTTTCTTCCTGTGTGATTGTGATATGGAATGGGGAAATGGATGTATTTATGCAATGATGATTGCTGTCTTTTGCCATTTTTATTACTTTATTTTATTTATCTTTTAATTACATTTCTGTGTGGCGGTCAGAGGACAACTTATGGGACTTGTTTGTCTTCTACCTTATGGGTCTCAGAGATCAAACTGGGGCGTCAGACTTAGTGCTTTTATCTCACTGGTCCAGCCTCCTCAAGTTTTGAGTCAAGGTCTTCCTCTGTACCCCAGGGTGGCTGCAAACTCACAATCCTCTGGAGTTCTGGGGTTCAGGTCTGCACCGTTCCAGCATAATTGAAACGCACTCTCTGTAATGGGTGTGCACTAACACACCACACCTGGCCAACAGTGTCCCTTCTTACCCACCTTTATTCCAGCCAGCATTCATGCCTTCCAGAAGGGCGACTTCCCTTGAGGTCCTTCGAGGCCAAGCAATATCAGTGCTGAGGAGCTGAGGAACTGGCCCCTGACTGCTCCTGACACAGGTCCCCTGTGCAGTCGGTGTTCAAGTCACAGGTGGAAAGGGGGTTGACCAAGAGGCCCCAGAGTTTGGAGCAGGGCAGTGGTGAGGTGCACTCTGATAATAAGTAGGAATGTGCCATGGATGAGGTGGTCCTGAGGAGCAAGTGATGTAGTTCCTGTGCCTCAGAAGCTTCTAGATCAACAGAAGAGGCTGGTTTGCTCAGGAGTCTACAGAGAACTGTCTGTGCTTATGCATCAAGTTCTCAAGTGTGTGGCTCCGCTGTGTGCTTCTGAGAAAGGAAGTCCCTTGGAGAGGGATCCAAACCCGACATGGGATAGCAAGCCAAGGAGAGGAGATGTGATGTGGAACTGTGGGCCATCCCCTCCCACCTCAGCTTCCATGGACTCAGGAATCAGGAGATCATCCCTGCCAGGAGCTTTGGGAGTGCTGCAGGCTCCAGGCACTCTGGGGGACAGAAAGTCTACAGTGGGAGTGGGGGCTGTGTACTCAGGAAGAAGCCAAGGCAGTTCTGCCCCTAGAGAGAGGAACAGCCCGAGAGGCAGCAGCTCGGTATCAGAACCCAGAGTTGCAGCAGTGCCATGTCTGTGTGGCTGGAGGACATGGTAGGGTGGAAAGGGTGAGCAGGATGCTGCCAGCTCGCAGCTCACTGCTGCCCATCACGTGGGAGACTGCCCGGCTGTACAGTGCTTCCCATTTTTGGTGGGATTCCACCAATCCAGACATTTCAGCCACATCTTCTTGGTTCTCCTTCCTCTCTTCTCTGCCAGAGGAACCGGAAAGGGGACAGCAGAACATGAGGGTGCTGGTGAGGTCCCTGAGCACCACCAGAGTGAGGTCTGCCCCTCTCAGCCCACTGTCATATCTCCTGGGATCTTTAATTTGTTTCTTTGTGTGTCGGGGGGAGGGGGTACACCTGTGGAGGTCAGAGGACAGTTTGAGGGAGTTGGGTTTCTCTTCCTACCATATGGGTCTCTGAACTGAACTCCAGTTCGTCAGGTGCCTGCTGAGTTGTCTTGCTGATTCTGGTCTTGTTTTGAAATTTATTTATTTTTTATATGTATGAGTGTTTTGCCTACATTTATATATATGCACCAACATGCGTGCAATGCCCATGGAGGTCAAAAGAGGGCATCAGTTCCTCTGAAACTGGAGTTAGGAACAGTTGTTAGCCACCATGTAGGTGCTGGGAACTGAACCCAGGTCCTCTGCAAGAGCAGCCAGTGCTTTTAACCACTGAGCCATCTCTCCAGCACTTGGCTTTGGTGTTTGTTTGTTTGTTTGTTTGTTTGTAGCAGGATCATAGCACAGGCTGGCCTTGAACTGACCCTCCTGCCTCTACCTCCTGAGTTCTGGGATCACAGTCATTAATCCCACCACACTTAGTTTATTTGGTACAGGAGATACAGTTCAGGGCTTCATGCATGCTAGGCAAGCACTCTACCAACACATCCTCAATCCTTTTCTGGGATTTCTGAAGC